CACTTCTAAAGTGTTGTATTCATTATCATTGTGGGCTAATTTTAATCAAAATCATTGCACAAACACAGGCAGGACTCAGAGCCGACGTAACTTTCTAGCTGGTCAGTTTTAAGCAGTAGCTATTTTTCCTCAACTTCTAAAGAAAATGATTGTGTTTTGTATTTTCACCCCCTGCAGACTAGTCATGTGGTAAAATAGTTTAATTATTTGCACCTTTTGGGCTCATTTGTACCTAATAGACTGTGTTACGTCCCTTTATAAGTCCCAAATGTATTTTGAAGCTCCACGCAGATATTTTTGTAGGGATAGGTTGCCAACTCCTGCTGTATTTACTTCACAAGTTTAATTGGTTTGACAAGGTCACTATAGAAACTTCCAGAGTGAGGCTGTGTTTTTGTTTTTTTGTTTTTTCCTGCCAAACAGTGTGTGAACATTTCTTGGCATGAGAAATGTACTCATCACAAACATTGTGTCATGTTGCTCCTCTCTCCAGATCCCTAATTTCCTCATGAGCCAGGTGCGTAGGCTGAACGAGAACAGCAACCGGCGTTACCAGTTATACGATCGTCGCTTCAAGAACCTGCTGAGAAAGATTCACACGGACAGCAGGGAAAAACCGGAGAAAAACTCCGAGGTGAGCTGGTGTCACAGCGCTGTACTGCTTCTTTCACTAGAGACGCTGCATGCCAGGCCCAAAGGACCATTTGACATATGAGTATTAGAAACTTTCAGTTCAGACTGATGAGAAACTGGATGTTAAGGGTTTTCTTTTTTGGTTTTTAAGACAACAGAGTAGGTTTCAGCTGGTGGTGGAGCCGGACAGATTTCTGACATAAGCCGGTTTGGGATGAACAAGTGCACCATGTTTGTGGGAACTTCTACAGTGAACTGTTTTAGCAGTTCCCTAAATTCCCTTTGTAGAAAGAAAGGCATAAGTGTTCAGCTACTGAGAAATCAATTTCAAATACAATAACTGTGAGATTTTATACTATATAAGTATCGATGCGTTTGATATTCAAAGTTATTCCAGATGATGACCAAACAGGAAGAATAAATTGTGCTCTTTTTGGGTCCTGCAGCCACATCGTACAGTGAAAATCCAGGTTGGAGAACTGGAAAGCAGCACGATGGATTATCAGCTTAACTTAAATTCAAGAGCCTCCGACCTTCTCGCCCAGTTTTACCGCCAGTTCCTCAGAAGCCCTGAAAATGGAAAAGGCAAAATGCGCAGGTATGATATCACAATATAAAAAAATGTTTTTAATGCATCCAGCTGTGTTGCACGAATCTGTCTGCTCATACATGTGATTAGTTAAAAACAAAAACAGACCCTGATGCATGGTGTCGCGTGCGTGTCTCTCAACAGGAACGGCTCGGTGGCGCATTCCGACTGCGCCCTGTACGAAGTGGGCGGGAATATCGGTGAGTGAAAGTGTTCTCCAACCGGTGCGGCGCTGACATTTGCGTGTCTTTCTGCTCACTGAGCCCACGAGTGTAGCAAGGTCTTACGTAATGAAGTGTACAAGCGCCAAAGAGACACGAGCAGTGCATCTGCAGTTATCAGAGCAGACAAATGCTTATTACACACATGTCTGCGCGCTCACATGAGAGCTGACACAGTACAAGCGAAACTTTTTGTAATCTGCACTACTTTTGTGGTCGAAAAACTCTAATCTTTATGCTTTAATACAAGTACAAGGATTCGAATTGATTAAGAGTCAGCACATTCATAATCAGCTGACAGAAAAATGGGTAGAAACCATAGAGATGATATAAACAAGTTCATATTCTTTT